TTTTGTGTTGCTGTGTTTATTGGTATTTTCGCATATAAAGCTGTATGAGCTGTATGTACACAATGAAACTTGTAAATATTTCCAACTAATAAAATAATAAATAAATTTAATTTGCAAAATGTTTTTTTATTCGTAAAACAATTTCCAAAACTTGGTTTTTCTAGAGGCTTTATTTTCATGCAATTGCTAACTTTTGTACAAATGCGCACACCCAGCTAATTAGCAGAATATTCTATGGATTCCGTGATAGAGACTGTGTGAAAATATTGCGTTTGGATTATCTTGGAGCATATTATCCAGAGGAGAAGCTCGGCCAAATACTAACATATGTGTAAGTCAAATACAATGTCAGCATAGAATCACGTTTTTATTATAAAATTGCCTTGAAAAGGGCACCAAAGAACAAAACAAGCACTAAACTAAACAATTTTCGCCTTTTAATTCCCTAAACGCACTTAATTTCTTGCGAAAGGCACAAAGTTGGCAACAGTTATATCGATGTCAAATTTGCTCATATACAAGCATGGACTGAGAGTGAGCGCCTGCTTAAAGAGCGTAAGCATCACATGCCAAAAGTGATGCCAGACACTAAAAAATCCCACGAAAATGGGCAAAAAAGCTTTCAATTACCCACATCTTAAAAATGTATCCCACAAAATTCCCAACGAATTTAAACATATACATGTTTCAGTAGTAAAGAAGTAAAATTCATTAAAATAATAATAATAATAATTGGCGCTTACACATATGTGCTTCTCCTCCAATTTGTGGCGTGCCCCTTGTTGTTGTCACACAAAGGGGAGGGACGTACAGTTTTACGCCGACTCCGAATGGCGAGTGTATTTTTATGAGAAGCTGTTTTTCATGGCAGGAATACACTCGGAGGTTTGCCATTGCCTGCCGGAGGCCGACCGCTGTTAAGAAAAAACCCCTTTTTCTGCATTTTTCTCACTCATTCATTTTTTCACTTTCATTTTTTTGCTCACTCATTAAGGGCCCAGAAGAATTTTTTGGTGACTTAAAAACTGAAGCACATTCATATGCTATTTAACATTTCATCAGATAATTTGTTCCGCTTTTTACATGAACAACAGTTACAACTGAAAAGATTCTTTCTTACTCAGCGCTTGAATTAGTTAACGTAAGAAAATTTTCGAAATTGTCCTTATACTTTTTAACAATTATATACCAGTTCATTCCACATCACATCTTTAGAAAGATTAATTACGTAAGAATGTCGAATATTCTTAAATTTGGATCAATTATGCAACAATAACTGCATCAAAATAAAATCCCTTATTTATTTCAAATGTCCGTTTTTTCCCTTTTTATAATTTTTGTTGCAAAATATCCCTCAAATAGGGAAATTACCCACAATCTGGCATCACTGCATGCAAATACATGCGAGAGCGTAACAAAGCGAAGGCAAATTCATTCAAACGTAATTGGCACACTAACACAATCACGCTTTCAGCTCGCGTTTAGTTGTGGTAGTGATTACATCTGCTCATATACACTCCTCGTCATTTGAATTGCACACCCTTTCAATTCTTAGTATTAACAGTTTTCCGTTTGTTTATTTAATATAAATTTTTTGTAAAAATATCGTCTTTACATACGAATAAAAGCGCGCTGGTGTTTTGACGGTGAAAAAAAGCGTTTAAAAAAATTTTGCAAAAAAAGATGCTTATAAAAAACTTTGGCGAAGTATGTTAAGAGTATTTGACGCTGAAGTTTTTTATGCGTCTTTTTTCGCCGTCAACTTTTGAGCTCGCGCCTTTATTCGTGTCTAGTGACGATATAGCATATTCTACGGGTAAATGCAATTTTAAAATTTTTTACAAACTAAAACTTAAAAGAAAGTTTATTTTCCATTTCTTAGGCAGCATTTTATATGATTTTTTTCGTTTTTCTCGAGAGCTGGAAACAGTTCTTAAAAAAGGTCAACATAGGAGAGTGCCATCCTAATCACCTGCAGTGAATAAGTTAATAATATTTTTAGAAAAATTTCTGATATGCAGTTTTGTAGCCCATTCAATTATAGTGTAATTAAGTGCAAGTTTGAAGTGACTCTCAAACAGCCCCGATTTTTCAAATTCATTTATTTTTTATTGACAGTGCTGCGCATTTTATTCCATATAAAAGTTTTGTCGAGCATACTTTGTATGAGAGAAAATGCGCAGCACTATCACCAAAACAATTGTCAAAAATCACCGCTATTTTACAAACACTTGAAACTTGCACTTTATTGTACCCCTTTGTTGACATTTTTTTAACTCTGTATAAAGTTTTAAAATCTGATGTAATGAATATTAAATAAACAAAATTAAAAGTGTAAATACTAAAGATTAAAAAGTTGAGCTATTCAAATGGCGAGGGGTGTATGTGGCGTACGTTTGGGAGAGTGAGCCTTTTTACTCCAGAATACGTGTGCAGTGGCTCACATTGCTATACGTGTATTAGTAAGATTTGTTGCCCCCTTCCCGTTTGCCCATGATTTTCCCCTGATCTAGCCCGCGAAATGGGCTCGCTTGCCCATATGGGCAAAAAAGCCCATACGGGCAAAAGTGCCCATGTCTGACATTATTAATACCAGTCTAGGCATAACAAGGTAGAAGTGATTTCGACATTTCTCTCTTTTGAACTGCGACTTAAATGTCAACTCCTATACTCATAATACAAAACACAAGGTAGTTCCATTCTCACTTTTTCGTCGCCATATTAACAACCTGACAATTAAGCAGATTGTGACTTTTCGTGCTACCATACCCAATATGTAAAATCCTTCAAATTTTCTTATTAATTTTTTGTTGATTTAAAAAACTTTGTTCTTAAGCATAGTATTTTATTCCTGTTTCACATGAAAACCTGTTAAAGTGCATATAAAATTTGTTTCTGTGAAATAAGTGTGAAATTCCATAACATTTCCTTGGCAAAGTAGTATTCCGTTCACGCTGTGAAAAAGCTTGCAACACTTTTGCAACATGAAGCTAGCAACACAATTTTCATGACATTTTTAAATACACGTGTACATTTTAAATTGTGTGAAAGCTGACAGTTTATAGAATTCAGTAGCGGCGAAAACAAAGGGGGGTTAAGTGGTTAAACCTTACCCAAGCCGATCGTAAAACTTGCGACGCAATTTCAGCTTATGCCTGTCGGTCTTGGCAAGAATGTAATCCCTCAAGGTTTAGCTTAACATGGTTCCAGGGATACACCAGGTGATTATGTTACTTTCCAGAAGGTGTCGCGCCCGGTTTTCTCATCTCAGTATTCTATGTAAATGCTTCCAGAGGTATCTATGCGTCACCAGAATTTTAGTTTATATGGCTTATACCTTGTGTGACCAACTGTACGTAAATGACACGTACAGTACGTAAATTTGTAGCCATGTACCGTGTACCGAAGCTAACCACAAAATCACGAAAATGTACGTAAATCGAATCTACATGCAAATTTTGACTAATAAAAATTAAAAATATAATGATTCAGTTGATGGAAAAGTGTAAACACCTCATTAAAAACTCGTCAAAATGACGATAAAATCCCCAACACTGGCAACGCTGTCTGCTGAATACTTTATTTGTGTTTTTCTTGTGTCCGTTAAGGGTGGGTAACTCAGCAAATTTATAGGAGTTGACTCAATGACTCCAACTCACTTTAGGGAGTCAGTTCAATCAACTAACTCATTTGACTCTTTGAATATTAAACTCATTAGTATCGTAGACTCGTTTTAAGGCATAAGTGCGGTATAGCGGCCGTTGAGATAAAACAAAAATTAAAAGTGGGCGTATTGAACGCGTATTTTCTTTGATCAATCAGATTTGGAGCGATGAGAAATCACAACTGAAAATCGAGACATTGCAAGATCTTTTG